TCGAGGATAGTGATGTCCCCAGCACATAAATATTTTGCGCAAGTGACAAAGAGCAAGACCAAGGAGGCGAGAGGTGTTATGTGACAAGTGCAGTTAACTGTCGATTAAGAAAGCTCTGATTCAGCCAATAATCAGAGGATCTTGGCTTCAGTCCAATACTCTGGAACTCTCATTGAGTCACTCGCGACAGTTTTAGCAGGATGGGAATAGACGGCATTGTTCTCCGTTCCATGCTCTTGCACCGCGCTGCCGCCAACGCGCAATTGTCCACACATCTCGTTACGAGGTAAAAACTATCGTAATTGGCTTCAGAGACGGAGAAAAGTAGGTTGAGATAGATTAAACTGTAACATTCGCGTAATGAAAGACTAACATTGTGATTGTCCAATAAATAAGTGGTGTACAGTATTAGAGTATAAAAAGGTTTTAGTTATCCTCAACTATGTTAACAATAATTAATTGTTCTATCTCTGGTTAAAGTTTAAATTTGTTTAATTGTGAAGAGAAAATATTAATTTACTTTATTATAAATTTATGTTATTTGTATCACTTAATTGTTGTGTTTTGATGCTATTGCCAAATTTATGTGTTTTGAACGGTTCAAAACCTGGTATTGTTACTAACGTCAAATATTCGGTAAATATCGTCATTGCTCTCAATGACTAAAATAACGTCCCCACTTCGATCCCGCTTTGAATAGATTTTAATAAGATAACTTTTCATTTCACTTGATTTAAGATGAGTTTGATTTTTGAGTTTCTTTATTTTTCAAGTAACCGCAATTAGTATTGGATTTGGCAATGTTAAACTACTTAAAATATGTACAAAACTAAGATGAAAGTAAAAAAGATTATCAACTGGTAAAGCATAAAAAACCTAATATAGACCATAAGACTTTACATAACCACATATCCGCTATAAAGTTTGGGTTTTAAATTAGCTCTAATTCACTCACAAAAGAATCATTTCAGAGCGACAATCAACGTGCCAAAAGAAATGGAGCAAGCAATCAATCAATTCAATTATCAATTATTTAAGATGGGGACGCCACTATGTGCGTATTTTAACCCAAATATGAGTGAAGGATGAGTGTAGGATGAGTGGCGCGATCTTGTAGTCTTGTTAGTGACTAAGGCCGACATGTTCCTTAGACACAGCTGTTAATTAATAGCCCATACAGCTAATGGGAACTAAGGGACCTACAGTTTATTGTGGAATCTGAACCAATGGAATGTTGCACGATCCTGTAGTGTAATGTAAATTTAAAGTCTCAAAAGGTATCAAAACTTGTTAATCACCCAAAGACTATAATTTCACCCCTGGATGAACTATGACCTAGCGTCCGTGAGGCTGGCAGTGGTCCGCCTTGCGGTGGCAGCAGTCTGCAGTGTCAAGCCATGCCATGTAATTGGCAATTCAATGGCTCAGCACACACCGCTGCTGTGCTCGGTAATAATATATTCAGCTGGTGATGGTTTATATACAAGTAGTTCTGCGGCTGGTGGCTGCTCCCACGGCATCCACTCCCACGCCTTGTACTCCCATTACATGAGGGAGTCAACGCTACATGGCCTGCACCGCCGTTGATTTGCATTCGTTGGATAAACTTAGATATATGTCGGTATTTACAGTTTCAGTACTTGGAGAGTAAGGCATCGGGCTTGTTTTGGTTTAAAAATAGCAGTTTTAATGCTTAATTGTAAAGGCTGGTTAGGTATTTAAAGTTGGTTCTATGTAGTTGAGAAGGGGAACCAGAACGAGGGACTTCTTTTTTGGGGGTAGGAAAAACTCCGGCCAATCTAGCATTTAGCTACTGTATGTAGTAATTCCATGATCAAGTTGTTTGGAGCTGCTATCTTACTGTAGGCTTAGCTACAGTATCTAGAATGATATGTCTCTCGGCACGGAAAAAACACTTTGTATTGCTCAAATCTCTTCACCAAAAACCTTTATTTAGAAAATTAAATGTCAAAGTGTGTTTGATTCTGGATAAAGTGTCAAATTAAATATATTAGAGTGGCGTTGTTTAAATTAGTTGTTCAAATAACAATACATAGATTTTTTTACATAGGGTACAAAAGCGGAAATCTATTAAGTAACAGAACTATAATTCTATAACATAGTCATAAAGGTTGAAATTATTGTAGAAGTTAATCTAGGAACAATTATATTATTAGTTGGTAATAACCATTCAAGCTTTGTGTATGACTAAAATAGGGGACTTAGGGGGATAAATGTGTATATTAAATTAAAAATTAATTAATTAGGGATTTAACTACTAGAGAGTCTGTATGTAGTGACAGTGATTCTATAAACAACAGCAGTCTGAGTCACTGCTAGCGGGTGGCCACTGGTCACTGGTCAGGTAAACACCCACACATATCTGGTCTGTTTAATTACTGTAGACACTACATGGCGCATGGTGAAGTGACTGGTGCTGCTAGTTGTGTCAAGTAAAACCTTTGCCATATGTTGGTAGAGTAATTACGTCATTTTAAGGGAACCTTTCCCTTGTATTTGTTATAATAATGTATTGTCGTAGAGGCTATACCGTATTCTAAACGAAAACAAAACCCAGGAAATGTATTGTGATCAATTTTGTATTTAATATTTTCAATCGTCCAGAGTGTTGTGACTTATATTTTGTATTTTAGATTGGGTTTCAGTCTGGCATACTACAGTACATATATGAAGAAAGTTGCTAACCTTTAACCTTAAGCCCTTCGCTTCCTCACTGTCCCTTCAATATATATTCTGGAGGTGATACTTCATGCCACCAAACTGGAGTCATGCAAAACCACAATACTCGAAATTCAGCCGACTTCAAACTATCTTACCACAAGACCGCCATTTTTTCGGAAAGGCCTAGCTACGCCGGAACAAAGATTTTCAATCACCTCCCACGACACATCAAAAGTGGAAAACATACCACACGAAAACGAGACTTCGCAGCTGGCTTCTGAAAACTCCTCTGTAAGCCTACAGCATCGAAAAGTTCTTCCGGCGGTCCAGTGACCACATTTACGTTTGATATATGTTTAAAAACTGTAACTTGAAAGATGTATGACACCAGTCTATGCTTGAAGCCGTTGAATAACGATGTTTGTATTCTTATTCTTAGTCCTCATGTGGTAGGGACATGTTGGGTCAGACCGAACACTTTTCTTCGGACAAGTGCGGGATGAGTAAAATTTCAGTTAGCAACGTAGATAGTTACTGGATTTACCTTACCATTTCCCCCGAAATAATTTGTAAACAGCCAAATGATCTATGGCAGATTAAACTATATAACATGTTGACAATAATTAAAATTTGGTGGTCTTGCTAAAGCTTTTAGGCCTGTGTGTAACGAGATTATGTCCAACCTTGCTCCAGAGCCACAGTTTCAGTCTCAGCCTTACAGGAGCCCTCGTCAGTTTCAGTTTGCTGCTTGGTCCATATTAATTACTATAATGTGTACCTCGCTTCAGGCACTCGCCCCCACCCTCGTACCTTCAGCTTCCTCTACGCTCTTTGTCTTGGAGCACGGTAATTACTGGTAATCCCCCCCCCCTTGACTAGGATTGGCTCCTCTTGTATCCGGAACTAATATGGTTCTTAAAGATTGTGTTTATTTTTTTACTGACAGTTCGTTATAAAGCTTATTAAGATATAAGGGTGCTGAAAAAGATAAGTAACCCATCACGTCAAACCTACAGCCTAAGTGATCTTTACTAAATTAACATGTTTATTATGAAAATTTTATAATATTGGTTTGTAGTTGCCACAGCAATCAATTGGTACCGATAATAAAGGTACAGTATTTAAACCACTATAATATGAACTAAAATACAAACAAATAATATATTATAAAGTAATCTTGTCCACAATTAAAAAGATTTCCTCAAAATACATTACAATTAACGCTTTTGAGAGTTCGAGAAAACAAATAAATACTATATTTTAATTAAAAAAAAAAAAAACACACACACACACAACGGACTACCAGTAGCGTGCCAGGTTGTTGACTGTAACGATGTTACTGTATTTGTGAGATTAATTAACACTAATAAAGCAAAACACGAGTGCCGGTATATATATATTGATTTGGAAAGTGCTATGATTAATGGTTTGTTTGGCTGAGTGGGCAGCAAAAGCAGGTAGACGATTTACACGGATACTCAGAGAAGTTTAACGATAATTGACTTTCACCCACAATGGGAGTTTGTTGGGTTTAAGGTCAGTTAAAACTATTTTTGGAATTAAAAATCTTTATTTTCACACTTAGTGAAAATATGGTATTTCATATTTTCGCCGCAGCAAACCCGCCAACTATTCGAGTAAAAATTTGTCTGGTTGGATTGCAATTGAAATATCTAGGCTATATAAAAAAGTCACATTTATTCCCTATTTAAATAGCACAAGTGGACTATGGTTTCTGCTACAGGGAAGTAAAAACGTGTTTCTCTGTTAAGAAATGCTAATATTTGCCTGTATTATTTGATCAAAATATATCCATAATCAAGATAACTGCTATACTTTTGCTTTAAAGGAAAGTTGTATATTTTTTTATTTCAACTATGCTAGTTTTAGTTTAAAAGTCAATATACAAACTATATCAGAGTGTTACAATTAATTGTTATCACCAAAACAGTTTTCTTTTATCTTGCATATCAAGCGTTGTTATTTAAATTCATGTGGAAATAGAAACTATAGTTTAGGTAAAAATATTAGTCATAGACACAACTATCTACGTTTTCCCTTATATTTTGTGTATAATAACGGACAAAACACAAAAGCCGAATAAGGCAAACTGACGTGTTGTATTTTGAAACTATAATAACAGTGTAATAAACAGTAGACAAAGTTTCTTGCGCAAAGAACTCAATGCAAATAGACTATGGCACAATTACGTGCGCAATTAAAAGCTTTGAATAGAGCTTAACGAATCAATATTAAGCTTTAACCTGGAGATGAATGAAAATTTGCACCTGTTGCTACTTGTGGATTGTTTACAGTTCTTGTGTTAATCATCTAGTTTGTTATCTGAGTTCTCTATCACTTCGTGCCTCTCTTTGAATCTGGAAGCCAATCATCCAGGATGGGGAAGCTGGTTTTGGTAAGTTTCTTGATATACATCCTATTCTTAGGCTATTAGCTATAATGTGTGATGCGCTATAATTAGTTATTCAACTAATTTAATTATGTATTTCAAAACATTAACTGTATAAATTCTTGAGCATATTAGCTTTTAGTACACTAAATTAGTCATTGTAGGCTATTTAAATTAACATTATATTTTATAAATATTTCCCTTGTAAAATAATACACAGGGTGTGAAAAATGCAATAGACCATTGTTTTTACAATTTTTATCAAACATCTTAATTTTTATCTTTGAATCTATTTACAATGGAGTTTTTACAACTGATCCTCCGTCATTTTCTATTATTCTTGTTCAAAATTTAATGTAGAACACGAAAATTACATTATCTACTCAAATCCATATACAGGTAATTGAGAAATCGCTGTATTAAGTTTAAAAACATGGTTATTTTTCAAAAACATAAAATAATTTTTTGGGAAGCTAATTTTTAAACTTGGAACATTTGATATGCATCATCACACTTCATTTACTTTGTACTTACACCAAAAAATTGTTGTCACACTGAGTACAAATCACCCTGTATAGTATTTTTTCTAAGGATATCGTTTTTATATGATAGTAAAAAATTATTTGTAACTTGTTTTTTTACTGTTTTTTTTTTTTTTTTTTTTTGTTAACTTTAGACTTTAGGACTTTTATTGAAACACCCCCACTTAGTCGAATCAAACCAGAATTCTAAATGAATTTTGAACTGACTACAGAATATGCAACTGCATGCCAAAATGTCCTTATCTCCCAATGAGGCCAAATTGTATAACATGGTGGTTAATGAGTACCTACTTGCCTATTTGTGCCTATTTGATAACTAATTGCCTTCAACCTATTTGTAAACACATTGATACGTTTTTATAAAACTTTACATTCCTACCAATAGTTAGAGTAGATTGGCAATATGTATTCGTATCGTACACTTATTGCTACTCATTGTATAATTCTTTTTGCAGCAAATGTTATTTACGTAGTGTAAAGGTATATTGATAGAGCGCTTAGGTTCCAATTATAAACTAAACTCATTCAAATTAATTAAGTTTTTAAGCTAGATGGTTTATGTTACCTGGCTTCGTCAAATGATCGTGCTTCAGTAGTACACTACTATAGTTTCGGACTTAAAAAGTCCATCTTCAGGTTAAACAAAAATGTCAATAAGTCATCTAACCAATTTGAAGATGGACTTTTAAAGTCCGAAACTATAGTAGTGTACTACTGAAGCAGGATCATTTGACGAAGCCAGGTTACATAAACCATTTAGCTTAAATTTAGTGATCCAGAGGCTACCTCACCATAAGTTTTTAAATTGAATTGAACTAATAATATTTACAATATCTTATTTTATATGATCTCGCATTCACAGGTACTGTTGGTGATATGCCTGTTAGCAGTGGTAGTCAATGCCAGCATATTCGACATAAAAGGCATTGAGACGGGGAAAGAATACTTCACCGAACTGAAGAATAAAGTACTACAAGTCTTCGATAAAAGCGTCAAAGACATAGACATTAAAAAGGAGCAACAAGATGCGAAGACCGTTCCTTCCAGTTGAGGAAATGTTCCCTTTGTGACTAAGTACAACGATTCCTTGTTATAAGAAGCTACTGCCATAAATAAACTACTAAAGAAAACTAGTTGAAGCATTATTTTTATGTGACAAATAATGACTGCATTTAATCAACCAGAAAATAACAATTATAATTTTACGTATTTTATCAGGATAACTGTTTGGCTCACTATATGGGTTGCAAAAGAAGGCAGGGCAAATTAACAAAGAAAGCCTAAATCTTTTTGGTTTTTTAAAAATTAACAAAAATAATTCTTAGTTTCTTGCAAACGTCTATTCTAACTAATAATAGTGACTACAGACATTAATAAAATACTTTGCCTTTTGTTATCTGGTGTAGTGAAATATACAATATGACACGTACTTCTTTCACATTTTTTCAAAATAAGTAAACTAATTTCAAAGCTATAAAAATGTAGAGTTGGTGTTATTGACTCCAGATGAGTCTTTTTTTCCAATGAAGATATAATGTATTGAAATTGTATACGCAAGGGTAAGTGAAGTAAGATTGATCTAAAAGGGCAAAGTAACGCACAATTGTCTAAGAGCCGGTCCAATACTGTCACCTATACAACATTTGTCTAGCAGCAAAGTTCAGGTTTATCTGCAAAGGCTATCTCTCCCGGGTTTTCTTGGAACAAAGTAACACACAATTGTGTAAGAATGCTTCTACCGACTGCTGATCTCCTAAAGACCTGGATAGGCTACATTTTTGCAAAGGTAAAAGTTCATTTAATTTACTAAAGTTGTACCGATCTTACCAACAACGATGTGACGCAATGGACCATGACTACGGGCTCTCACAGTTGCAGATAACATTTGTCATCAGGTAAACTTCAAAGTTAATGTATAAAGGTCATCTCTCTCTCTCTCTCTTTAGTGAATTTCCCTATTGAGGAGTAGCTATTACCGTAGGTGGCATGGAAAGACCTGGAGCCGGGACCGATATACTTTTTCATTTTGATGTCCCTTGAGGCCAAAAACACTATTCATTCAAATTTATGTATATATGTTTTTTGTCAGATTTTGATGAAATTTGGTTTGAAGGTGTAAGGCACAATGAATGAGTTCACGAACCAACGTGATTGGACCATGGGAACATGGTTTTATGGGGTAAAAATTGAGTTTTCTCATATTTGACCCTCAAAACACAAAATTTCACAATTTCTCTCCAGAACATTTTAAGGAGCTTAAACAAATAAATAATTTAGTATATCAACGTGTTTATGTACGGTTATTGGTTACACGGAATATTACAAAAATTGCAAATTTAAATTCCCATGTTATTTTTAGGAGAACATTGTAAAATGTAGTTTTGTTGGAAAAATTTTAATCAAACGTGGCAAATTTATTTATTTTACACTAAACTACTAATATTTTACTAGAAAACACACTTTATCAGCCTCCCTGTAGCAGTAAACCAAGGTACTCATTAAACTTATTATTTAACTAGACCTAAGTGAAAATCATACCAGCCAAATGGAAATTCGCTTAGTCTGCATGTTTGCTGCGGCGGGGGTATTTACCTACAACAAAGTAACGCCCAATTGTCTAAGAAAGCCTATACCGACCACCGGTCTCTACATTTGTCAGGCCTGGAGACAGGTTCCCACCGTACAATGCACCGGCCTCATTGAATGCAAACCACCCCCACATAAACATCACCAGACTGACGTGTACTTCTCATTGATACTACGTAATGAGATACGCTCCTGATTTGGCATGTGGTATACTGAATTTGAATATCTGTAGGAAAAACTAACTGTAAGGTTTCGTAACCTTTCAATTGCGTTTTTTTTTTTTTTTTTTTTTGTGAGTTTATATGGTTTCTAGACGTTTGCAACGGTTTTATTTTATTTGTTAAGGGTATTTAATATATAAATTTTTGAGTTAACTATCCAAAGACTAGACGATATCTATATCTGATTTCCATCCTCCTCACGACGATCTTTTTGCCATAATTCAGAAAATCTGCCTGTTTTAATTACGATTAATTGTGTTGCGGCGGCTAGATACATTTTCTCCCTTAACAAAAAATATTAATCTGGAGTCGAGAATACCTATTTTTTACTTTAATAGCTTTCAAATCCGATCGTTGATTTTGCTCAAGGTAGTTGTCAAAACTTAAAGAAGTACAAAATTATATATTTCACTACAGTATATACTAATTTATTGTCATAAAAAAAAGTTTTAAAAACATATATTTAGTAATACATTTGACTATTTATACAACGGTAATACACAATGTATCCAAATAATAGTCTCTTCACATCAATTGCAAAACAAGAAAGAAACCGTTTTGGTAGCTAATTTATCAATATAAAATAATGGAATTTACTCTTTTCAAATTATTTGTCTTGAATATGACTTAAAGTGTATCTTCGACAATCGCTCATTCTTTAACCTCGGTGGCGTTGCTAAGGGTAGTTAAGCTTGAGCTCAAGTAAAAAGGAGTAACATGAGGTCCTTGTGATGAAGTATACAATTTTTATTTTCTCGCCAATAACTAACTACTCCGTGGCTTACCCTAAAACGATTAGGATTGGAATATTTTTACTTCAGCCACCTCAATTAAGATATTAATAATCAAGTACGTGGAAACTGCCAAGCTGCCAATCACTTTCGCCAATATCGGAAACAACGTTAGGTCATCCACTTTATAAAACCTTCTTGGCAGTAATTAACGCGGGAAGCAATTTGGAGGGGTTGCGCGGGTTCGCGGGAAACGTGAGGCCAACTTCTACGACCGCTTCTGATCGACTCGCCTTTATTTAGGGGGAAAGCTGTGAATTCAAAGATTAATACTTACCAGGGAGCAGCACGTATTCGACCAATTTTCTCGGCGCAGTTAAGCAAGTGATGGTGTAATTAAAACTGACAAAAGTGCAATTTGGGCTGATGATCTCGCTACATGTGAGCGTAGGGGTTTAGGATTTTTTTGTTGGACGAAATTAGTTTGTTAGTGCAGTTTTGTCAGACGAGATAAATCTTGAGTACTCGACAATGCCAAAATATATTGCATTTTCTTTACTAAGGATGTCATAGATGTAAGAGTGTTCATCACCCACGCCCCATCTCGCGTTTAGTCCTGTTTTTTTAAACGTGTTTCTTGTTGTCCTATCCTCGAATAAACACAATATAGGGGTCGAATTAATGCTCTTCTAGTGCTCCAACATCACTTTTCTACATATTAATAGACAAGCATGTTTCTTTAAAACCTTTTTTCTCCACTCATGTGCATCACAGGGAAAATCTACGCATACTGTTGGAAAGATATTTTCCTGTAGAAGTGCAAAATCCCTTTATAAATTAAAATAGGCTCAAAAATGAGGACAATATATAAGTTTTAGATTTCAAAAGCTTAACATGGGCCTTATAGGTTGTCATGCTGGTGACGAAATAACAACAAATAAACAAACTGAAAATCAAAACAAATGGAAGAAATTACAATCACGTGTTTTTTTTACAGCGTGGGGTGAAAATAGAGACGTCTGTACATTACATATTTTGGTCGAGTTTACGACCACTGGATGACTACAAGTTTGAATTATATTGTATACCTCATCAGAATAAGATATGAATATATTTCCAAAACAAATATATTTGATTAGGTATTTTATACAATCTTGCTTTACTGACCATACATTAGGGGTCATTTTTTATACAAGCCTCCAATTATGTTCTTAGAATAATACTTGCTAAGACTATGGTTTGTTGCTAACTTAGTCGTTAGCGTATCAAACTCTGAATTATATCCCCGGCAATGAATTATAATTCCAAAAAAGTGGGTCTTGGATCGCTTTAACTTAGTTACGCTTGTGATTCTTCTATATAAAAAAAAGTTACTGGTGTAGACACTACGAAACTGTTATGAACAGGCTTTAGTAGAGGACGCACAAAGATGTAAGTCGTTCAAAGCAAAAGATGTAAGGGGTCCAAGGATGTAAGAAGTAAGTATAAGGTGTTTTTATATGGTGATCACTTCGGGAAAGCGTAAACGTAGTGTAAAGAGATAAGCACACGTAGCCTATAAAACTATTAAGCATTCTTAAATAATGCGCGCACATCTCAGTGGTGTATTTATTCAAAAAAGTCTGGGATGAATGTATCTTTGTTTGAATATAACTTAGGGAAATGTTAAAAGTAATTGTATACCATAGAGTGAGCCACAAGACTACCAACAATTGATATATAGTGAAAGCTCATTTCATCGGTGCAGATATACAGGAGAGTCTGGGAAGAAGACGGCTTTGTGGGTAGATAGTTCGGAAGAGCGTAAAACGTAGTATGGAGCGTGGAGCGTAGAGCGTAGGCCGCTCATTTCGAGGTGTGCGATAACAGCTGTTTAGCAGATCTGATCGCGATGAAGAGCAACCCGTTAATGACTTGTTCGTGCGACTCTCTCGGCTCCCACTCAACACTTGCCACTTTACGCACTGCTCTCTCCAATATGACGAAAGACATCTAACTTTGGTTAGGATGAATTAAAACTAGGTTTTATACATACAAGGTGGCTGAAAAGTAACTTCTACTCCCCTTAACTTTTCAACCATTTGAGATATTTGAAATCTGTTTGTGGCAACCTTCTTGGATATGAAGGGCTACAATAATTATGTTCAATTTTGAGATTTTTGCCGTTAGGGGTAGTGGGGGTAGGGCGTAGCTCAAAATTTTCAAACAACAAGTAGTCGAGGTATTGTTTTACAGGTCTTGACGAAACATAACAATTGACTTAAAGAAAACCAAAATCGGCCCACTAATAACAAAATGGCGACATAAAACGTTTCAAATCCAAATAACCACGAGGATGGCTGAAAATTAACTTGTACCCCCATTAACTTTTTAACTATTTGAGATATTTGAAATCGGTTTGCAGCAACTTGTTGTAAGGCTACAATAATCATAGCCAATTTCAAAAAAATTCCATTAGGGGTAGCGGGGGTAGCTTAACATTTTCAAATAGCATGTATAGTCGAGTTTGGTACCATTTTACAGATCTTAACAAAACAACAATTAACATAAAGAAAATAGAAATCGTACTATTAACAACAAAATGGCAGCTAA